CGAATAGCCAAAACAATCCCTTAGCAAAAGAAACAAAGCAGGAGGTATCACACTTCCAGACTTCAAACATTACTATAAGCCTACAGTAATCAAAACAGCCTGGTATTGGTACAAGAACAGGTACATAGACAATGGAACAGGATAGAGATTCTGGAAGCAAAGCCTCAGTTCCCCAATCAACTCATCTTTGACAAATCCTCCAATAACAACCACTGGGGAGAAGAGAACCTATTCAGTAAATGGTGCTGGGAAAACTGGTTGAACACATGCAGAAGATTGAAACAGGACCCCTATCTATCACCGTACACAAAAATTAACTCTAAATGGATTGAAGACCTAAATGCAAAACCTCAAACTGTAAGAATCTTAGAAAATGCAGGAAACACTCTTATGGAAGTTGGAACTGACAACCAATTCCTATTCAAAACCCAAAGTGCCCAGGCCATAAGAGATCAGATAGACAAGTGGAACCTCATTAAACTGACAAGCTTCTGCAAAGCCAAAGAAACCATCAAGAGAGCAGGGAGACAGCCCATAGAGTGGGAAAAAATATTTGCCAACTATATATCTGACAAAGGTCTAGCATCTAGGATCTACAGAGAACCACTGATTTTGTGATGCCTTCTTCAAGGACCTCAGAAGAAATCAACTACTTGTTTTATAGCATCCTGCATATGTAACTGAGTCTTGCCACATTGCAATAGTTATTACATGTCTATCCTCTTCACTGGACTATGAATACTTCTGAGTTCCATCACAGAAATGAAACTGCAATCTGTTGCTATTTCCAGAATGTTAAATGTTCATTTATTGCTCATTGACTGCTCACTAATACACTTAATAAATGTTTGTTAATAATTGTAAATTTTTATTATTCTTATGAACCACTAATTTGAGATTATCATTTGAATTTAGGAATCTGTAGTTTATTTTAAATTTGTATGAATGTAAGGAGTATAAGTGCAATGTTGTTAAATGGATATATTGCATAGTAGTGAAGTCTTGATTTTTAATGTATACATCACCTGAATAATGTACATTGTATCCATTAAGTAATTTCTCATCACCCATTCCCTTTCTGCACCCCTACCCTTCAAAGTTTCCAATGTCTATTATTCCACATTCTATGCCCATGTGTACACATTACTTGTTCCCACTTATAAAGGAAAATGTGGTTTTTTGACTTTCTGTTTTGAGTTGTTTCACTGAAGATGATGGTTTCAAGTCCCATGCATGTTTTGCAAAAGATATTATTTCATTCTTTTTTTATGGCTAAATAGTATTCCATTGTGTACATATATCACATTTTCTTTATCCAGTCACCCACCGATGGACACTTTAGTTGATTCCACATCTTTGCTACTGTGAATAGTGCTGTGATAAACATACTAGCACTGGTATCTTTTTTAATGTAATGATTTATTTTCCTTTGTGTAGATACTCAGGAGTGGGACGGCTGTATCCCTACTTTCAATAGGGACTTTTCCCCCTTAAGAGTATTCTTTGAAAGTCTAGTTTTCTCAGGACACCTGCTAGTCCAGGTCTAACAGTTTTAAGTTGGGTTAAAGTCCTCTTTTAATTATTATCTCTGTATCCAGTCCTTTCCCAAGATCAATCTTATGCACATTTTGAAGTTGACCTTCTCTAGGTATCTATTCCTATCTAAAGTGGCTTAGCAATCTTTGTTTGCCTATTTGATTAAATGTTAACTGAACATTTAATTGCAAGTCTGTCTCTGTACCTTGTCCTCCATGAATACACTATTGATACATTTCTGTTCTGACTTGAAGCACTTTTTTTTTGGACAAACAAGTGGCTTACAGTGAGAAATTCCTCTTTACTGATAGCCTAGCAGTGCTCAACTTACATTCTACTTCTTTGATAGTCTTCTAATATGTTGGCTCATTTAGCAAGAACTTCACCAGTTAGGGTTGGTTTTTTATGTATGTCTTGTGTAAATTTGTTTTACTTCCTTTCATTCAATTCCATCTCAAGGACTAGGAACAGAGTTTAAATTTTATTTTATTTTATTTTGGTATACCCTTCCATCATAATTTTGCACTAAACAATATAATGCATTCATAAAAATCATTCTTGATTTATTGACAAATACCTTGCCGCATTTTGTTTCCTCATATGGCACAGAACACCATATAAATTCTACCCAAGCAGTTTGCTTTCATGTTGCCTTCTAGCTGTTTCTTTTACATGCCATCTCAACCTATGGATTATAAAACTGTTAAGAGCTGGAATGAATTTCTAGATGGAAAGTCACTGGAGTGTAGTAGCAAATGCATTGAACTAGGAGTCAGAATACATAGGTCTGAACTCTGCCACTAGTATACTTTGCTTTTATCTTTTATTACCATCATTTTTAAAATCTGTAAAATAAAAATAAACTCCTCAGAGATATTGTGAGAATTAGATGAGATACAATGTCTGGAAACATTCTGGAAATTTTAACATGCTATATAATATAAGGGATTGCTTTTCATTACATCTTTAAAATTCTTTTGTGGGTAGATCATGCAGGGCAAAGGGAAGACTATTTAGGAGTCTTCCTGAGAGTCTTCGCTAAAGTTGGGTGGGTATATACTTGCAATTTTTAAAGCAATGGTTGCAAAGTCTCATTCCTCGTTTTTTTTTGTTTTTTGTTTTTGTATGTTTGTTTTGTTTTGTTTTGTTTAGAATACAAACTATTACAGTCCAGTACAATTTCTGGCAAGCCATTTTTCAGCATTTTCCATCTACTTACTAAACACGACCTCTTGTAGTCCTATTTCCTGCTTTTCCAACTCACCCATGAGATTTGCCTCGTCAATCCCTCTTCCTCCTCCTGGAGGTATCTGTCATACCTGGAACACTCTTTATTCTGAACCTCGCCTGCTTTTCTTTCCCGTGGGCTCCTCTTCCCCTCTGCTGGCTGCCAAGGAGAAGCACATTTATTGGCATTGTCCCCAAACAGATGCTCGCCTCGCTCCCTTCCCCCTTCCTCTTCCAGCCAAGGGATCACCTGCCAAGGGCTGGTGGTTGCTGCCCCCCGTGTCCACTGCCTCACACTGCTGCGGCTCGAGTCCCTTTTGGCAGCCTCTTCTGAAGTTCCCCTGCCCGCGTTCGCCTGTGCTTCTTGCCAGCAGCCTCCCCCTCTCGCCTGCAGCTCTCCTCGCCCCGCCAGCCTCTCCCCCGCTTGGTCTGCGCTCAGCCTCTTCCTCCCGCCCTTGCCAGCTGCTTTACTCGCCTTTCCTCAGACTGCCCCCTCGCCTCCTTTCCCCAGTCCTTCTAGCTCCCGCAGCCGGTTTCTTTCCAGCGCCCCCATCCCTCGGGGCTGATGTTTTAACATCCAGTACCACCTCTCCTGGTTCCCAGTGTGTACGTGTATCCACCGTTCACTCGGAAACTGAGCATTTTCCTCTCGCGTCTGCATTTGACTAGTCCCCACCCAAACCCTGTGTCTACTCCCCGCGCCTGGAAGGCGGACTGTAGCGACAGGAGAGGGGATTCAGTGAAACACCAGGCCACCGGCGCGGCGGACCCTAACAAAGTTTTGATCGCTTGGAACTTGCTTCCCAAACTTGGTCAGCCCGGGCAAACGATCCGAGACACCAAGCAGCGCACAGTGACCAGGCGCTCCTCGGGTTCTCAGCGCCCGCGACCATCCAGGGCCTCTCCATGGAGAACGCCGACCGCTCTCCAGAACCAGGCCTGGGCCACTCCCCAGGCCCCATCGGGGTCCGGCAGCCTGAGCCCCACCCAGCCCCCGGCTGGGGAGGGAGCACTTGTTCCTAGATGCGAGGCGGCAGGGTGGGCAAGAAGACCCGCTGGAGCTGCCCAGATTCCTGGGTGCTTGTCTCGGAGATGAGGAATGGGTGATGCGTTAAAGAGATCTTCTCAAACCAGAGCCCTGGTCGCTGACTGGATACCTCCGTGCGCCCTACTGTAGCGGGGAAACCTTTACGAGCGGTCTCCTTTAAGAAGCGCGCGTGCGTGTGTGTCGGGCTGTGTGTGTGTGTGTGTGTGTGTGTGTGTGTGTGTGTGTGTCGGGCTGTGTGTGTGTGTGTGTGTGTGTGTGTGTGTGTCGGGGTGTGTGTGTGTGTGTGTGTGTGTGTGTGTGTGTGTGTGTCGGGCTGTGTGTGTGTGTGTGTGTGTGTGTGTGTGTGTGTGTGTCGGGCTGTGTACGTGTGTGCGCGCGCGCCGAGGGCCCCGAGAGCCAAGCAGACCCCGGGAAGGAGGAGTTATGTAGATTACGGATGAACATTCTGGAGGGGAGAGAGGAGAGGAGGGAAGGAGCAGCAGAGGCGAGGGAGCGAAGAGCGGCGGAGGC